TTTCTTATCGTAGGTTCCGCACCGCAGCTGCTGCCGATGCCAATGTCGGATTAGCTGCCAATGAGTACGTACTGAAAGGCACTGGAAGTAATACGACTAACATCTTATCAATTTAGATACAACTTGGATTATGGAGGAGCCAAGACTACCGCATACATCAACTTGGTGAATAGGCTCAAGTCCCGCGGCGTCAAGATTACCCAGATCGGCTCTCAATCCCACTTGACCGTTGGAGGTGTACCGTCGGCTTCATCATTGACTTCGACATTTACATCGATCACTGCGACCGGAGTTGACCTTGCTGTCACCGAATTGGACATTCGGATGACATTGCCTGTCACCACCGCCCTTTTGGCTCAGCAAAAGAAGGACTACAACACTGTAGTGTTGGCCTGCATTCGCACTCCTAAATGCGTTGGTGTGACGATTTGGACATATGCCGACAACTACTCTTGGATCCCAGACGTCTTCCCTGGAGAGGTGAGAGGAATTTGATCAAGAATTTCTATCCCCTTTTCCCACTATTCCCCCCAACCTGAGAGTATACATTGCTGACAAACATTTTTCTTACCAGGGCGCCGCTCTTCCTTGGGATGACCAACTGAAACCGAAGCCTGCTTTCTACGGTATCGCCGATGGACTCCAAGGCATTACCAGCTCTTAAACCATCCTCGACCAGCCTTTTCTATCCAAAATTAGAGAGGATAGTTAACCGGGGCCTTCGCCATTCATTGGATCCTGGCCACACCTTCCTTTCAAATCATTGGAGTTCTATTTGTATAAATGGATTATAGTCTGCTCAATTCTCATTCCCAAGACTAATAGTCCTTGAATATATACTGTCGATCTCTCATTTTGTCATTCGCTTGGTCTTCCAGAAATATATCTATACCAAAAAGGAGGGACTGTAAGGCATAAACAAGAAATGAGATCTAGTGTTTAGTGAGGTATTGACTGTCTATATAAGTAGTACTTTGAGCGGGAGCAAGGTGGCGGTTAGTGCTGTATCATTTGTCCATCTCCATTATCATTCGAACAGACAACTTTTGGCATCTCCACCAATAATT